TAATCAATATGAGTGTCCCAATTAACTGGCACTTGCTCAAAGGTAACACCCAATAGTTTCAGTTTTTCTTTCCTCTCTATGATCTCGAGTGGTTCAGGAGGCGTCTTGGAAGTCTTTCCTCGTAAAAGAAGTTCCCATGTTTTCGTCAAGTTGACTTTCATGCAGTTCTTCTCGGACCATTCAATAAAGGATAGGATTTCCGTTTCGGATTCATCTAAGCCTACATTTGCCTCGATTGGTAAACTAATAGTTATATCATCAGCAAATTTAACTAGAAGATTCTTATTAGTATTAACAGCTTTGATATCGTTAATAAAAATAGAAAATAAGACCGGCCCCAGGACTGTACCTTGAGGAACACCCCTATTTATAGAAACATATTCAGTACTATGACCATCGACAACAACTCTCTGCTTTCTATGATTTAAAAAACTAATAAGCCAATTAATAATATATGGATTAATGTTAACTTGCTTTAATTTACTACAGAGGGAATTGTGTGATACAGAGTCGAAGGCCTTACTAAAGTCAAAGGAAAAAATTCTGACAAAATCGGCGTTACCATCAAGCCACTTTAACCATGTGTGTTGACATTTAATTAATGCCATAGTAGAGTTATGGCCACCGCGATAGGCAAACTGATCTAAATCAATATAATCATTGCAAATACTGGAAAGTTCAAACCTATAGACCAATCGTTCAGAAAGTCTCATGATAATAGCAGTTAAAGAAATTGGCCGAAGCTGGGTGCAGCAAGTCAATGGAGACTCCTTAGGTATAGGCTTGATGTCTGCCATCTTCCAAGAGAATGGTACTTTATGTTGTTGCAGCGTTAATTATGTTTAATTATGTTAATTATGTTTACATGTTAATTATATTAATTATGTTTACATTATGTTTACATTATGTTTAACCGCAGTTTTCGAATTCATGAATGGATTTTGTTGCATAATTATATATATATAATTTAGCCAGTAAAAAATCTTAACGAACTACTTCATTTTCGATGCTTAGCCGTAAGATTTTTCATTTCTTAATATTTTTTTCTTGATGCTATAATTAATTGAGCCAGGTCTGTTTTCCCCATTCTTTTGTCATGGTTGTTGCTGTTGGTGTTGTTTTTTTTTTTGAAAAATGATTATCACTTAATTTTTTTCAGGAGGTTTCAATCCATGTTTTGTTTTACAGTGTCTCTCCTCTCAGGAGTATATATGATGCCATACATGGTAACAATCACCTTACAAAATGAACTACTTGCAGTACAAACAAGTCACTGTTGGCATTTCATCCTCTAGAGTGTGCGGGTAGCTACTATTTTTTCTTAGCGCGATGCTTAGTCAAGTTCCCAGAGCCTTCCATCCTTGAGTGCCATCGAAGCCATGGAAATGCCAGCGATCCGACTTAGCAGTTTTGCTCTCTTTCAATAGATTCAGCTCGTACTTGTCCTTCAAACATAGCTTTAACATTCATATTAAAGTCATAATTTTTGTCTCCAACGAAATTTATCTTCAACTATTTCAACACGGGTGTTGGTGTTTTCATTCACAGTGCTTTTAAATCTAAGAAAATTCCGTGCATCAAAGCTATCTTTTCGATAACACTAGTTTAGTTCTCAATCGACCCTTTAACTAGCTTCCAGGTCTTTCGAATATTTCATCGATCAGTCATGAGCTTTTCCCCCTCGTT